AGCCACAGCTGAGGTGATCGCGGCCGCAGCAAATGGCTCCGGTTTCACCTGCTTCTTTCCGGTTTCCGGTTTCTTCCTCCTATTTTTTTTGTATTTTTCTGGTTTTTTAATGTTTTTGGTTTTTCTGGGTTTTATGAAAGCCTGAAATGCATAAAAAGAAAAGATCATATGGAAAAGAAATAAAAAGAAAAGAACATCATACCAAATGGATTGCCTCCCATCAAGCACATTTGTTTAAAGTATTTTAGCTAGACTCTTGGTAGAATTAGGATTTAGAAGAAGAGGCAGGATCTCTTGAAATAAGAGTCCTTGGGATCCTCCTTAGCCTGAACTTTGGATCTCCTTCATCTTGAATCACAATCTCCCAGTTCACAGCTCCAAATCCATTGATTCTAACTGTTCTGAAGCCCTGACTCAATTATCTTGATTTTTGCTGAAGACCACGGAAGCCAAATCTGATGGGAAGACCTTACGGTAACACGATCTTTAGAGCGCATCGACACAGGAGAGTTTTGGCCGAGAAACATGTACCACGGTACACGTTTTGGCCGAGACTCACATACCGTGGTACATGTTTTTAGCCGAGAAAACTTTTTTCACGCGGTATGAAGTTCTTGCGATGCTGAGCATTCTGGAACACGGTTTTGGCCGATAGAAACTTCCCGAGAAGGATTTTTAGCCGGTAAAAATCTTTCTTGCGGTACATGGAAATGCCGATGGACCCCAAAATCACATTTTCACCCTTTTTTTTGCTTATTCAGTCACCATTCTTCACCTGGATCACCTCTTCCACTCCAAGTAACCTCCAAAAGCACCTAATAGACAGTCCAAACATGCATGATTCACTTGGACCTAATGCAAAGTCCTAAAACTCTAAAACAAAGATAGAACACAATGAATCTATCTAATATACATGCATGAGACTCTATTCTTGGACTAAAAATGCACCCTAAACATGATAAGATATGAATATATTATTTAGCCAACCATACCGTGAACTGCCGGAATCGGAGCCTATAGGCCCCAAAGTAGTCAAGTTCAGAGAAACCCTTAAGCTCTTCTACCACCACCAATTGACACGAGGAGCCGCCGTGGAGAAGCCAACCCCACCGATAAAAAAAACACATATGTAGATCTGACTTGGAGAGAGTGAGAGAGAGAGAGAGAGAGAGAGAGATAGATGACCGATGCCAGTGTCCATCCTGATGCTAGAGTCGCCGCCGAGCTGGTCACCAGTGAAACCAAGATCAGCCATCTTCTTGTATGCAATCTAGGGTTATTTTCCAAGGGATTTACTGATAAAAGAAGAGAATCATGTAGAATACTCACTGAATCGTTTCATGAATGACGCTTGCTAAGTTTCTGATAACAAATCGATTCTTTGAGAGAAATTGAGAGTCACTATTGTATTGGGGAAGCGAAGCAGTTGTATGGAAAGTTGTATTGGGGAGAAAATATATTTTTTCTCTCTCTTCCTATCGACATAATTGCATATATTTCATAATTTGACATAATATCACACGTAGGATTACTGTAGCACCCGTGTTCGGGAAAAACCTTACCAAGTGGGAAAATTGGTAAGGGAGTTATGGTTTATGTAGAGCAGAAATGGGAAAAAACCAGGGGGTTAACTGAGGAAGTAAGGAAAATTAGTTTGATCGGAGCAAAATGGGTTTAGTCGGGTGAATCCAAGTTAAGTCCAGCTTTTGCATAGCTAAATCGAGTTTTGCCGAGCTAAAATCAGCTAGCCGTGATTTTTGGGAAAATTGGCTGGAAATTCTGACAAGCCGAGTTTTTCGGGACTCGGTCAGAATTCGGACAAGGTTGGTTGGGAGCAGACAGCCTTTGTCGGAAACGGGTGTGCGCGGGAGCGGTTATCGGGTAAAATGCGCTAAGGCAAAAGTGCGGGAACGGTTATGGATTTAGCCGAGCAAGTGTTTACGTGGGACGTTTATTAGTCGGGCAAAAACAGGCGTGGGAGCGGTTATTGCCGAGAGAGTGCGCAGATGGGTGCGGGAGCGGTTTTTGGGCGGTTTTCTGCGGGAAATCGTGTGAGCGCCTATATAATAAAGGCTTCTGGCTCATTTTTCTCTTCTTCACGCGACCAAAGAACTCAGAAAGATTAAGAGAAACAGTTTTAAGAGAAGTTAGTCAAGAGAAAGTCTGTTTGACCGAGAGTTGCCGGATTCTAGCCGAGAGAGATTGCAATTCTGTCGAGCGTGATCTGGATTCTGCCGAGCGATCATGGGAACGAGTCTGAGCGATCGAGATTTCTGTCTTGACCAAATCTTTCCGATAAAAGCTGAGGTGAGTGCATGACCGTGACCTAGTTTAGTCGTATTCTTGCTTAGATTCTAGTCGGTTGCGTGTATATTCTATGCTTGTCATAACATTTCTGCTGGCTATGCCGTGATGATCGATCCACCTTACCTGCAATCTAGATCAGGCAAGGCGCTCGCGGCTGTGATGCTCGCCGAGGCTTGTCTGGTTGCTGGATGATCGGCCGGGTAAGGGTGTATGGTCATGCGCGTGTAGGTTTCTGTTCTGATGAGCATTGGGCTCGATCTTTGTTTGATGCGATTGTACTTTGGCTCGGTGAGACGGGATGACCGCTCTCACTAAGCAGTTCTGTTTGCTTATGCCTCCTTTTGTGGATGCAGGTAAATATAATGTCTGATCAGCGCGCGCGGACTAAGGCTGGAAAGGGATGGATGGTAGGATCGGGTAGGTAAGGTCTTAGTCAATGTAATAGCTTATATGCAAACAATCATGGTACTGAGAACCTCGATTTAATTCAAGTATTCTGTTTTTAATCTACTTATGCATGGCTAAAACTGTCTAAACGAACCAAATGTGAAAAATACTAAGTAAAAATCCGGATCGAAATTTGACTAAGTATAAGTTAAAAAGTAAATTCCGGGTTAGGGTGCTACAAGTTCGTATCAGAGAGCGGTCGGTTCTAGGACCAGTTTAGCATAAGTGGGTTAGTGGCTAAACCATCCTTCCAATGCCGAAGTCCCGCAGTAAGGCTGATAATGATTGTCTATGGTGTTAAGTTAGTTTGTCGGCTAACTTAATAGAGTATCTAAACCTTTGGAGATGGCAAGAGGTGATCGAAGACAGCATGCTGTGGGTGACAACTCGGCGGCTAGGAACGCCGAGGGTAGAAATCAGGATCAGGTTGATCGAAATGCGGGCATTTCTGGGAATGGCGAGAATGCGGCTGCGGCTGCTGTGGCTGGAGCTGTTCTAAACGTTGCTGCTACCCCTGTTGGATTGGAAGCGGTGTTTGGTTTGTTAACCCAGGTGTTAGCACTATTTGCCGGCTGTTGTGGCTGCCCCAATAGCACCACCGCTTGTCGTGCAAGTGAATCCGCCTGCTGAAGCGGATGAGGGAATTGCCGGTGTAAGGGTCCCATCTTATCTGAAGGTGATGGACCACTTGCAGAAGTTGGGTACGAAATTCTTTCAGGGAGGAACTAAGCCGATTGAGGCTGATGATTGGATCGACCGTCTGGAGAGGAACTTCGAGTCAATCCGCTGCCCGGAGCAGTACAAGAAGCTAAGTTACTTGGTAACGCTGCTGCGGCTGGGCCGAAAAAGGATGGACCGTCTGGCAAACCACCCGCGGATCGTAACGCTGGTTCAACCAATAGGAAGGAAAAACGTGCGAGCTGGCAGCGCGTCTGGTGCTTGTCTTCGGTGCGGAAGCATGGAGCACAAGGTGAAGGATTATCCGGAAGAGGATAAACGCAGAAAGTACCCAGGGAACAAATCAGATGAGAGGGTTTGTTTCCATTGCAGTGAGACTGGGCACATTAACCCGAGATGCCCAGAACTGATGCAAGTCGCGCAGCACACTGGGAAAAGACCGAGTGAAGGATCAGCGCCTCCGGCAAAGAGGCAGGCCATGATGACGCGGATCTATGTTGTGGCTGAGGAGACCGTGGAGGATCCGAGTTCTTCACGTCCAATCACTGGTAAGTCCTATCAGTTACCTTAGTAAATTTTCTGTGTGAAAATCCTGAGGGTTGCGTGGATAGCTTAGCAATCTAGGTGATTGTGTAGGGACCTTGGTCATGGGTGGTGTGGCAACACATGTTCTGTTCGATTCCGGAGCAACTCATTGTTTCGTGAATCCGAACATGGTCGGAAAAGGTGGATTTTCACAGGGAATCGGGGGATAACTATGGCTTGGTCC